TTATTTATTAAAATAAAAATCACGTAGGAAAGAAAATATTTTAATGATATTTACCGGAAAGATATGCTCCCAGTATACTTTTCGTATCGCGACGTTCCTGGGGCACAGCGTCACGTGAGCGATCGATGGCTCGGCCGTCGAGTTTCGAATGGTAGTGGGGGTAGCCTCAGGAATCTGCCCGAAATGAGCAACTAATTCCGAGCACTGATTTATACCATGGCTGTGATCATAGTCTCGCTACAAATACTTTGAAGCGTTTGATGAACCAATTAGAAAAAAGAATTTTACAAACTGACCAATTAAAAGACGCTTCAAACCGCGTTGACCGTGCCCTTTAACGCTCGTTGAAGTAAGTAGGAGTTATAGCAAGAGCACATTGGAGTATACCGGAGCATACAACAATATATATAAATATGTTGCAATATATGTAAATCAATTAAATTACAAAATAGCGACTTTTCCTAAATGAAAATAACAATGAAGACATCTTCCCCAAATGATTTTTAATTGATTCCATTCATAAAACACATTAAATAAAATCTCTGTCTGCTAACTTGACGCGTAATAAAATTTGTTAATAACAAGAAAAATACTATTAGCCAAATGTTTAAATACTTTTCCTACATTTTCCCAAACGATTCCTAAATTATATAATATACACACACATACACATATATATTAGGTGCTAACTTATAGCATTTTCGGCCCGATCGGGTTTGCACCAACCTTGGTTGGATTAATCTTTCCTATTGGTTGACGTCACCCGCTCTACCAATAGGAGAGCACAAAACGCCATTAATGCAACCCAAGTTGGTGCAAACCTGGCCGGGCCGAAAACACTATTAGTTTCCGCGGCTCACATTTAGATGACGCTAGTTGTAAGTGTAATTTACTTTAACATCTGAAGTTTGCTACATTTTAGAGGGTAGACATTTGTCAATAAAATTCAGTACGAAAAGATTTATTTAAGCGAACAGTACCATTTTTTTTGTTATTAAACATAAAACGTGATAAGTTGTTTTTTCGACATGTGCTGCTTTATTACTTTGATTTGTAAAAAACTGTAGCTGCAGCTCATAAATTGCTTGTCGAAGCTTATGGCAATTATGCTCCATCGGAAAGAACATGCTAAGAATGATTTCAACGATTTAAGAATGGTGATTATGATGTGAATGATAAACAACGCTC